TCAACGTAAGAAGCTCAATTTTGGCATACAGGTTGATTCTAGGGTGTCGAGGTTCGATAAGAAGGGATTTTTCGAAATTCCAGTTCCAAGAGAGTGAAACCACCCCTCAAATATTACAATATTTTTTATTTAAAAAAAATGTTAAGTTTCCGAAAAAACGCTTAAACACGTATATTTTATTTTGTTTTCTTACATATTTTAAGATATTTTAAAAATGTATACAGGGTGTTTCGAAAAATCTGGTCATTGATTAATCAAGATCCTGCTTAAAGCGCTTGACGTAAAAAGCTGATTTTTGGAAAACAGATTGACTTTAGGGTGTAGAGGTTCGATAAGGGGGTGAAACTATCCCTCAAATATTAAAATATTTTTCATTTAAAAACCGGTGAGTTTTTCGGAAAAACTCTTAAGCACGTATATTTTAAAGAAAATCTTTAAATAAAGAGTTTTTTCAAGTAATTTAATACAAAATGAATATTTAAAGAAAGAAACAATATTTGTCTGATATTTTTTTTTATTTTTCAATATACAGGGTGAGTCTTAAATAAGTGTGATATTTTAATTTGAAAATTAGAAAAAATATGAATTTTCACCTAAATTTTGAGAACCGCTGGATATTTTTTTTGGATTTTCTTTCTTGTAAATTTAATCTACTAGCTGTGTTGCCATATTATGAAGATATTATGTTTTTTAATTAAAAATTAAAAAAAAATTCCAAATTTTTTTCGCGAAAAGAGAACCTCATAGACGTGTTTCTGGGGTCGAAATATATACTACCAATTCAGTTTAGAACAACTTAATGTAAATCAACTTGAAAAATACCCAAAGAAAGCTAACAACCAATAATTTAACTATTTCAATATGGTATCTTTTACATTTTAATTAAAATATGACCTATATGTCCACATAAACCTTAGAAACCTTAGTATGACAATATAATTATAAATTCAACCAGAATCACTGTGATGCTTCTAAAGTTAAATGTTTACTTAGAAACATGTCTAAAATTAAACTTTGTTACAACTCTTGAACTATTTTAAGTTTTCCTACAGTTAATAAAATTTTACTGCCCAAATGTATGGTAAATACCATAAAAATGGTCTAGAAAAAACGTAGAATTTAATAAATTTTCAGGAATCCTAAAAAATAATTTTTTATCCTACAAAATTAATTGACATGTTTGATTCTCTTCCTCCATAACTCTAATTCATTATAACCATAAAAATATGACATATACATATCTAAATTGATGAAAAAAAAACTCACATAATAGTACAAACTCAGCCATTCTAGAGCTTGAAGAGAACTATAAAACTACAAAATAAACATTTCTATAATAATATTAAAAATTATAATTTACAATAACTTATATGGGTTAAGTGTTCAAATAGCTTTTAGCTAAACTTCGCCCGTTGGTCATTGTTTGTATGCATGTGGTTAAATAAAGACGATTTATTATTATTATTATAATTCTTGAATATTTATTATAATGTTTTTACCGCGCAAATGCAGTCAGTATATTATACACTCGATAAATCACGCAATGTATGTACCTTTAAAGCAAGTGCAGCCCATAATGTAGCCCATCATCGATACTAGACGAGGCGTCCCCTAAAGACGCCCGCCTGTCTTCGCCGACCGCCCCTAGGAGCCTCGAACCAGCCCCTGCCGCGACCAGGCCATCCATCAACCCCCAGGGGGGCTCAGGCACCCATTTCGCGCACATATACACCGCACAAATTGGACCGTAGCCTTCCTGAACCCGTCAAATCGCCGTATATACACGTATATCAGTGTTACGAGGCCCGTTTGTTTATGTATATAGGACTTAGGAGACCCGTATACCTGTATACACGTATAATTCTTTGAAAAGTGCCGATAATGGACTGGTTTCTTTTCGACGCGTTTAAAGGTTTTGGGGACGACGTTGGATCAGGTGTGCGGTGATTCTCGCGGGGGTATAACGGTGGATGTGTTGTGCCCGGCAGGACGGTGCGCAGCGCTGACCTGCGGAGCTTCGTGGAAACTCTGGGACCGCGAAAGGATTGTGTTGAGGGGGAAGGGGGGAAAATGAAGGATAGCTGGCGCCGCGCGCGGAGTTGCGCGCGCTCCTAGGTTCCGGTTTCCGGAAGACGGACGGACGTAGCTAGAGCGACGTTGCCGGATTGTATTGAGTTCCGTAGATCTTAGGAAAAAAATATTTTTAATATATTTAAATAACTTTACGACTTAAAGGAGAACGACATGGACTGATGATTTAATATCTATTAAATTATGCAATATACAGGGTGGTCCGAACTGTATTCCGGAAACTTCGGCAGAACATATTCTGCAGATAAAAATAAGTAAAAAAGTTCCTATAAATATATGTCCTAGATATTTATCTTTAAGTAACTTTTAGATTTAAAGGTAAAAATATTTGCACAATAAAAATGAAACTAAAACAAATTGACGTCAGACTCAGTTACATCTAGGTAATGAATGTAGTTTATTATTTGGTGTGACGACCAAATTTGTTAAATTTTTATTGATGCTAATATCAATATTGCTATACAGGGTGAATCTTAAATAAGTGCAAATATCTTTAGGGGTAGTATATTTTGACCCCAGAAACACGATTATGAGTTTTTTTCGAGAAAAAAATATTGTGAAAATTTAGAATTTTTTAAAAAAAATGTTTGGAGCCTAACCTAAAGAATATTGCTACTGAGACGTGGCAACGTTGCCTTGTTGCGTTTTGCCCGCTCCAATCTTAAAGATCGATATGTTTTTCAATGAACGAAAACGACTTCTTTTTTCTGGATGGTCGTAGAGCGGGAAACGTTGACGAGACAGCCTATTGTTCAAATTTTCTATAGTGCAGTTATATGTCAGCAATTCTGTTAAAAGCACACACGTTCATTTACGCGCTACGTCGACGTAGATTAGTGGAGGGGAAAATTTCGTACATATACAGGGTGATCCGAAATGTAATCGAAAAATTCGGCAACATATTAAAAACAAGTAAAAAAGAATAAATTTATGTCCTAAAATGGGGGGCTTCGTTTCGAAGAGACAGGGTAGAAAAGTTTAATTTTTATTTTGTCAACAGTTCAATTTGAGAGGGCACCACCGAAATGTTTTTTAACTGTTTTAAAGAGTAGGTAATAACTTTTCGTCTGTACCTGTATTACACTACTGAGAAATAAAATATACATTTCCGCCGTTTTTTACACAAAAAAAGTATCTTGGTAAAAATCGGTAGAATTGCCGGATGTGGAAAACCTAACAGAAGAAAGTTGCAAGTTTCCCGTGCTTTATGACAAGAAAATAAAAAAATACCGGAATACTCAGGGTTGCCACCTGTCCCGATTTTGTCGAGACAGTCCCGATTTTGATCCAAATTCGATCCAATTTCGAATAGTTTTATAAGTTAACGCAAAAAGGCACTAAAAAATTGTTTCAAATTGGCTCTAATATTATGTTTAAAAATTGATAGAAAGCGTGATACATTATCCTAAATTATTCCTAAAACTTTGCCTCATTATCTATGAAAATAATGTTAGAAAATCTCCCTGTAGTTGTCTTCCAGGCACTGTTTCCATTAACTGGACCGGAACCGTTCTTCTTTCCAAATGGAAACCAAGTTAAACCAAAACTGAAGAACCAGGAAGACTCCATCCGTTTCAAAGTAAAGGAATTTTCCAATTTTTTTTATCTCAAAAACTACGACTTTGACTGATTTTGATGTTATTACAAATTTTGTTGCAAATATTATTCCTAATCTTAAATCGAAAACCGCGTTTCGCTAGCTACTACTGTAATTTTGGTGTTACGATTTTTAAAATTTTTAACCCCCTCCCATACCCCCTTACCAATCCCCCATAGCACGAGGAAGCCAAGAAACAATCATGTTCATACAAAACCGGCTAGTAGAAGAACTACAGCCGGATGAGATTCTGGGAATGGTTTCGGATCTCACACCACCAGTCCAACTCTTGACGCGCACCTACAACGTCCTGTTTCCGAATAGGGACGAATGGGATAAGCCGGGAAACGGTTTATTACATGCGGAAATGTGTTGGTACACGGACGGATCCAAAAACGAAAAAGGATCTGGCGCAGGAATTTACTGCAGCAGTCCAAAGACTGAGATCTACAACAATCTTGGAAAACATATCACAATTTTCCAAGCTGAGCTATATGCTATTGAAACCTGTGTGCAACTGCTGGTAGAACAGCAATACACCGGGAAAACAATATGCATATTTTCGGATAGTCAAGTCGCGCTGAAAGCACTTGAGGCAACGAAAAGCACGTCTATGACGATTCTTCATTGTAAGAAACTACTCAATATATTAGGAGATAGGAACAAAGTGTCGCTAATATGGATACCGGGACATGTCGGCCTAGAGGGAAATGAGCGTGCTGATTCCCTCGCCAAAATTGGTGCAGGCTCGCCATTCGTGGGCTCAGAACCGACACTTAGCGTTCCTAAAAATCTCGCAAGAGACAGGCTCTGTGAATGGGTTAGGGGTGCGACGTTCTGGGACTGGAATGAATGTCCCGGAATGGAACATGCCAAGAAAATCCTAGCAGGGCCATCCAAACATAGAACAGGAGCGCGTACGCTCACTGCAGTGTACACGGGCCACTGCTGGCTGAGGCTGAGATCTCACCTACAGAAGATGGGACTGGTGGAAGACGCCGAATGCCGACTCTGTATGGAAGATGACGAAACAATGAAGCACGTTATGTGTACCTGCCCCGCTGGGGGTAGGACCAGGTTTGAGATGTTTGGCAAACCCATGCTAGACAGACCTATCAGACCTAGGAGACATGTCGCCCTCAGACATAACGGCCGATGTCAAAAGGCTGGGTCTTGAGGGTGAACTTTAACGCTCTTTGTATATTAGAGCTTGTAGAAACCGAGCCACAATAGGCCCTCGCGGCCGCAGTGGAGGGTCCCATGGGACCCGCCACAGAGGTATGACAATTTAAAAAAAAAACCAAGTACTCACCACTGGTCGTTCCGTTGGCACTACTGTCCCTCGCCGCGGCAAAGTGCGGGTTCTGGAACAGCTGTTGCTGCAACAGCGCGTGATGGTGGTTAAGGGCAGGCAAGGGCGACTGTCCCTGGGGCGGATTGGGATAAGGAGGCGGCAGGCCAGGGTGCTGAGGGGCGGCCTGCTGAGGGGCGACCGTAGGCGGCAGACTGGCAGGACTGAAGGTGGACTGCTGCTGGGAGGCGAGGGCGAGGTCGCCCCCAGTGGCGGCGGACGGGGAACTGAAGAAACTGGATGGAAGTGAATCACCTGGAAAGAAAAACAAATATAGTAATATAATATACAGGGTGTCCCAGACTGAGCGCGCATTAGAAGTTTCTAGAGAACTACAATATCTAGATCAGTGAAATAAAAAAATGTTTTCAATATGGCGGCACTTCCGGAAGTACCGGAAGTTGCCAGCAACTTTCTTATTTTGGACCCATTTTTTATTATACAGGGTGGTAAAAATAAGTAAAAAATTTCGTATAAATGTATATGTCCTAAAATATTTAGTTTCGAAGATACAGGGTGTAGAGGTTTCATATTTATTTTGATTTTTTCCAAATAATTTCAGAAGTGACGTCAATATTTGGATGAAAATTATTGTTGCTTACGAGTTTTTTGACATGATAAATTTGATTTTGATGTCAATATGACTCCTACTTGTAGAGCGCGCTACCTACATATTTTTAACTGGTTTGAAGAGTTATAACTTTTCGTCCGTACCTGTATAAAACAACTGAGTAAAAAAATATACATTTACGACATATTATCTATCCTTTTATGGTAAATTAATGTAAATTTTGAACATAGTACCCAACACAAGATTACCGTTTCTTTTTAATAGTTTTATTTAAACAAGTTTTAATCTCGTTTTAATATGTAACGATTTTTTACAGAAAAAAATACTAATATAAAAAAATAATGATCTATTATTAGATCTCTGATAACATTTCCGAGGTGTAATAATCACGAACGCGAATATTTAAAAAATACTTTAACAGTTGAACTTTAAAGCAATCCATTTAATGTACACTTTTCCAAATTAGACCGAATCACGCGATGCATTCATTTGGCCACAAAGGCCCTATAACAAAGCATTTAAAACGATAGATTACAGATTAGAACAATCGTATAGACCAGAACATATCATTCGTGACGTAAAATTAACGTTTCTGATATCTATATCGGCGGTTCTCAAACGTTTTTGAACCAAGAACAACAAACATTAAAAATTAAAAAAAAAATGGCGCCGGGAGGCACATATAGCCGCGTTCGCGCACATATAGCCCATACTAAAATATGTCAATAAAAAGTTGGTAGGCAGTTCTTTTAGTTTCAAAGTAAAGGAATTTTTCCAATTTTTTTTATCTCATAAACTGCGACTTTGACTGATTTTGATGTTATTCCAAATTTCGTTGCAAATATTATTCCTAATCTTAAATTGAAAACCGCGTTTCGCTGGCTACTGTAATTTTGGAGATACGATTTTTTAAAATTTTTAACCCCCTCCCATACCCCTTTACCAACCCCCCACCCCCCCACCATAAACTAATGGCCAGATTCTCGGGTGCCACAGTATTTTTGTGCCAAATTTGGTTCAAATCGGTTTAGCGGTTTTTGAGTTATCGTGTTATGACCCAAATAACTAATTTTGAGTGAAATTAAAAAAACCTTTTTTGCCGATCTTAATAGCCTACCATATCTGTTGGTATGGTCGGCTAAAAATACTGAGGGTGTCATTTAAAAAGTTGTAGTCATTTCCGGTGAAACAGGAAGTGACCAAAAACATTTGAATACGTCAATCAATCCTGATTTATGTCATATAGTAACATACCAAATCTTGTTTTTTTATCTGAAAAAATAACAAAGTTATAGGGGTAAGCCACTTTTGAGACGTACCCGGTATGTCATTCTTCCAATCATTAAAGCCTTTTTAATAAAAAACCTCTATTGTTAAAATAAATATCAACCATTAACTTCGAACATGTAACTCTGACTCGCGATCCTCTTGGATGATATCTGTCCTCCTTTGTTGGTTGAATCACATGTTTTGATGCTAAATTTGGATGTTCCGATCTATTTTCGAACCAAGGTCTGTTGTTGGATGCGATTTTATTCGCAGAATTACGCCAATCAGGAATTATGTCGATTTTATTTTGAATCAATCGTTATAATAACGCTCCGGCATTGCAAATCGGCTCCAAATAAACAAAAGAGCTTAAAATAGAAGGGTATTAGATCAATTTTGAACTGCATGTTGTTTAGGAATTCCGCGTATATCAAGGACGCAGAGTGATAAATAGTATGATGATATGACTATAAGTTTCACTGAAGCAGTCTACTACTATGATAGTAGACTGACAAGGGTCCTTAATAAAAAAATTAGTGTTTTTAACACAGCCCTGGCACTCTAGAATGAAATTAAAAATTCTAACTTTTTTTTAAGCGAAAATGTCAAAAGTGTCAATCAATCCTAATTTATATCATATACTAACATACCAAATCTCGATTTTTTTTATCTGAAAATATAAAAAAGTTATAGGGGGTTGAGCCACTTTTGAGATGCACCCGGTATACATGTGGCAGACTTGACGAGTATGTCACCGCAAAACATACTCTGCCCACTCATTACATTGGCCACTTGTAAATTTGTCGAATTTTTATTGACGGGATGCATCGTCTACTTTTTTAACGATAACGGTAGTAGACCGAGCTTGAAGAACAGTGCAGTCGTTATGGGTAAAATAGTTGCGTGATTTTATTAACTGACATAAAGTGTTAAATTCGACGAGTGTAACCATAGTTTCTCGACATATAGTTACTTACAAATTATTTGTGACGTTTGGAAAAAAATAGCATGTTCTATACGGAGTAAAAATGACTTTTTGTGCCTCGCCTGTAATCAAACGTACAACTTCGCCACAATAAGTATCATTTTTACTCCTAATAAAACAATATTCTATTATTTAACACTGTTTTCCTTAAAACAAAAAGCTAGTCTATTTTTTACGTATGTCTATGGTTATTTCTGGATTTAAGTTCCCTTGAGAATGATTTTGTCGTGTGTGGTCTACTTCATGCTAATTGCCATCTTGAAATACTCAAAACTAACCACTTTAGAACATTAGGCAGACCTCTTAAAATAAAAATTGATTATAGACATGGGTAATTTTAATGGCCTGTTTTTATTAAAATGAGGCCTATACAACTGACTATAGTTAAAAACTTAGGTAATTACTATTATTAGTTGACAAAAAGATTTCAGTTTCTAAACATAAAATTTTCGATAAAAGTTTGAAACACCCTGTGGAAAAATGCTTCTTATAACTACTAGTGGGTAAATGAATTTCTAGATATATTACGAATTTTTTTGGAACTTTAGTTTCGGAGATATAAATTTAATCGGACATTTTTAAGAAAATTAATTTTATTTTTCAGAAACTATTAGGGTCAGAGTTTACCAAAAATGCTTTTTATAACTACTAGTGGGTAAATGAATTTCTAGATATATTACGAATTTTTTTGGAACTTTAGTTTCGGAGATATAAATTTAATCGGACATTTTTAAGAAAATTAATTTTATTTTTCAGAAACTATTAGAGACAGAGTTCAGAAACTATTAGAGACAGAGTTTACCAAAAATGCTTTTTATAACTACTAGTGGGTAAATGAATTTCTAGATATATTACGAATTTTTTTGGAACTTTAGTTTCGGACATATAAATTTAATCGGACCTTTTTAAAAAAATTAATTTTATTTTTCAGAAACTATTAGAGACAGAGTTTACCAAAAATGCTTTTTATAACTACTAGTGGGTAAATGAATTTCTAGATATATTACGAATTTTTTTGGAACTTTAGTTTCGGAGATATACATTTAATCGGACCTTTTTAAAAAAATTAATTTTATTTTTCAGAAACTATTAGAGACAGAGTTTACCAAAAATGCTTTTTATAACTACTAGCGGGTAAATGAATTTCTAGATATATTACGATTTTTTTTGGAACTTTAGTTTCGGAGATATAAATTTAATCGGACCTTTTTAAAAAAATTAGTTTTATTTTTCAGAAACTATTAGAGACAGAGTTTACCAAAAATGCTTTTTATAACTACTAGTGGGTAAATGAATTTCTAGATATATTACGAATTTTTTTGGAACTTTAGTTTCGGTTTTTAATTATTTAAAAATGATAAGAATTGTCTATAACTCTGTAATTTTTCGAAGAAAACATATTATAGCTTATATCGCTGAAAAGCTTAAAAAATGGCGCTTTTTATGAAGCCATGGCCAACTATGGTTTCCATTTAAAAAAAAATATGTTTGTGTCATATGTCAAAAATAACAGGCTTTAGAAAAAAATGGAGGACACAGTCTCCTTAAGGATATGATTATTTACAACTTTTATCTGAAAACTTTTTGTCTAAAATAGCTTATAATGGAATTAGGGACAATTTTTAAAATAGCCGAAATTTGTTTTTTTCGAAATATCTAGTAAGCGATGAACTTTTTCAAAAATCTGAAAGGCGCATATTTATGAACCCACAAAACTGCAATTCTTTCCCCATTTAACCGACTCTCTATCTCCAGTAGTTTCCGAGATACCCATAGAGAACATCGTAGGAACCATGAACATATTCGGCGCCGGGCTGACTAACTGGGGATTCAGGTGGTAGCTCTGCTGTAAAAAATGGCAAGTTGCCACATTTATTTATTTATTTCTCGACATTGTCGCTCGTTTTGACACTTTAGTTTTGTATTACGAGTTTTTGGTTTAAATAAATAGTATTTTCATACCTTAACTTTAAAAATATTAACTAAGCAGACCTTGCAGTCGAATATTGTTCTTTTTAGAACCTCTTTTAGTGCGAAGTGGTACAAGATAGCTTAATAGCCGTAAAAAACTCATCGCAACTTTATTAGAACAGTTTGAACGGGAAAGAGGTAGTAATGGCCCTTTATGCCCCTTAAGTGCTGTTAAGAAGGTAAGTTTTGCTGATGTAAATAATAACTGTTTATATATTTATAATTAATTAACTAACATAACATTAACTAATTGGCTGTGTTAGTACGTAGATGTAATATTTTTTACCAACGAATTTCAAGGTCGGCATAACTTGGCAGGATGGTACAAGAATGTTGTACATCTATTAAGTTAAGTGTGGCCCATCAATTATATGCCAACATAAACAAACTGGTCTAATTAGTTAGTAGAATACATCAACAGCGACTCCCTAATTGTCCAAAATGGGTTTCGGGAGTAAT